TGAATTTAAGTGATGAAGAACGACTTCAATGTAGTGAATGTTTAAAAAAACTCTATCAAACAAAATTATCATGTATACAATCAATTCAATATCTTATTGAACAACAACGTGAAATCGATGAATGTATTACTGATTTAAAATCAACCAAAATACATGCACAAGAAATAAATGAAAAAATATCTGAATTAAATCAAATATCTTGGTTAAAATTATGTTGTTCGAAGAAAAAAACTCATTCATTAGAAATAAATTTACATGATGATAATCATTTACTTATTTTACCATTTCTCAATGATCAATCAAATCTTAATAATTGTATTTCTGGTTTAAATGAAATAGAAAAAGATTTTGAACTTGAAAAATTATTTAATTCAATAAAAACTTCTTATACATATTTTTCAACAAAAGATGAATTTGAAAAAATTTTACATGAAGAATATACATTATTATTTGAACTTGCAAAAAAATTAACAAAATGCATACAAATTCTTCATGATACAATTGAATTTCTTGGTACAGATATTAAATTAACATTAGAACATATGCAATTAGCACAACCACGCATGAAACAATTATTAAAAATTAAAGCGCCTTTAGCTTTTGCACAAGTACAAAAAGATTTTATGACATGATAAATAAAACTTATGCAAATGACATTGTTACTATTCTTCCAATGAAGAGACAATAACGAAAAAAAATATTAGATTATATTTTATGATTGAGATCTATTAAATTTTGATGAGTTTGCGTTGATAATTTTACGATATCAGTTGTATCAATATTTTCTACTTGGCTCGTTAGTTGAGCAGCAGTACGTGTTGTTAATCGATATTGTTGAACGGTTTCAGGTGATGAACTAGTTTTACTGATGTTGTTCTGTAATTTTGATAAAGAATTCATTCGATTACGTCGTAGTAAATGAATAGTTGAGAGAGTAATTACGGTTATTAATATTAATGAACCGATAGTAATACTCACAGCGGTACTAATAGGAAATGAAGAATCCGAAGAAATAGTTTTTATTGTTGTAGTTATACCAGTTGTAGTAGTAGATATAGAAGTTATTTGCTTTGTAGTCGATGTTGGAGGAAGAGTCGTAGCAAGTGTTCTTATTGTTGGCACCTTTTATAAAATATTAATTCATATAACGTATGATAAAAAAAATGAATTTACTGTTCGATTGTGTAAAGTTATTGTTGTTGTTACTGATGTAGTACTTGTTGATGATGTTGTACTTGGTTCAGATGATGTTTGAAATGTCCAAAAACTAGTATCTGTTATTCCCATTGAATCTCGTAAACAAGTTGCTATTGGTAAAAATACACCAGGATCAAGTGAAATATAAAATTGTGCACCTGCTTGAAAAACAACATTTGATATAATTTCCAAACGATCCGAAAGATAATTAACATTATCTAATTGTTTTACTACACTATAAGTTGCGAAATCTTCATTTGTCGATGCCATTTTAAAACGAATAAAAGCATCGGTACTTGGTCGAGTAAACGATACTCCAGTTGGATATAATAATGTCCAGTTGGATTGATATTTTGATACCAGACCAGTTGGATAATGAGTTGCATTGTTTATATAAAGAGTATTACGACTATCTGAACCTATTTGTACTGTAAAACGAAGACATGTAGAATCACCTTGATTACCAATTGAATCGACGCCTGCAAAACAAAATAAATTTTGGCCAACTTGATTTACATTAGCTGAATAAGATACTTGAAAATTATACAAAGTTAAATCATATGGATCTATAAATGTTGATGATTGTGTAAAGCCACTTGGATAAACACCAATTACATTAGCTAATGTAGCATTTGGACATTGAATTCGAATTCGAATAATCATTGTAAGCACTTGACCAGGTTCAACAAAAATACATTGATCAGCAGGTGCATCACCAATATATAATGGAGGTAGATTACATGTTATATTTGAATCCCAAACATGAAAAACAAATTGAATTGGTACACGTGAAAGTGGTACCGTACTTGAATCAGTTTCAAAATCAAGTACAGTAAATGCTACTGCATAAAAACCAATAGTAGCAGGTGTAAAACGAAGAATACAACTTGTTTCATTCAGATATGTTGAAGTAGGTAAATTAAGTAGAGATCGACATATACCACCACATTCATCACTTGAATTTGACCAAATACATGTATATCGATCAAAATCATTATCGGCCACATTTATTTTAATATAATATGTACGATTACGACGAAGTCGAATAACAGGTAACATAGTAACAATAGGCGCTTGATTATATTGTCCATTTGATCTCAAATAAGTATTAATTTCAACAGCTATAGACCATACTCCTCCACCAGTTACCAAAGCAAACCAAGCACTACTAGTAAATATTGCTCGAAATCGATAATTTGGTGCTACTTTAAAAGTAAATCGTCCTTCACCACTAACATATTGTTCAATTTGATTATATGCAGTACATGGAACAGCTACGGAACTTAATGTACTCACGTTTGGTGGACAAGATGACATACATGCTAACGATCCTGAACCAATCATATAATTACCAGCTGTAACAAGCGCATTAGTACATGGATACGTGACATAATTCCATGTATGACGTTGATACACTTCAACACGAAGAGGATTTGTTGTTGAGTTTGTTACACGCCATGTCACCATTGATCCGCGAAAATGGGAACTGAATACAACAGAGATATTAACAAATAATATCAATAACACATTCGATTGTTTCATTTTTCGTTATATTTTTTTCACTATGAATAACAACATTGACATTCTTTTTTATATTGTATTAAAACGCAATAATAAAATATGAAAGGCAATTGTAAATAAAGATCCAATGTACATTATAATAATGAAATATGGACGCAGAAATATTTCTATGATTTCATTTCATATGTCAACGAAATAATAAAATAAAACTAATCTTTGAAATTTATTTTCTTTCATATTAGCATAGATACCGAAAGAATGTAATAAATTTTTTATGTGAATTATATTAAATAAGAATATTTTTATGACATATACAATAGTATTCGTTGATTTATTTAAATATAATTAAATGTTGTACTTTCATTTTCATTCTTTTGAATAATTACTGTATATAGATCATTTAAATCTTAGTTTACTATTCTGCCATCATGTTAACTATTTTTTTGAACTTCATAATATACATTGTTTTCTGTTTTATCAATTTGCAGACAGAATCATAATAGGTAAAATTTTATCATCAATCTCAATTTGGTTTTTTTTTTGTCAAATATCACTAATAACCCATTAAAAATAACGTATAATATATAAAAGAATTATCATCTCAAATAAATCGTCAATGCATACAGACAAGCACACAAGTTGTTTTTTTCTTATAATAACAAGAATGAATGAACAAAAGAGAAGAAGAAAAAAAACTTAAATTAGAACGCATGTTAAACACAATAAAAAGACGAGAAGAAGAAATGAATTAAAGTAAATTGACCCACTATGAATTTATATGTTGTCTGTTTCAGATCAAAAAGAAAAGGGGTCAAGATAAAAAAGAAAAGGGGTCAAGATAAAAAAGAAAAGAAAAATATAACCAAATCAACAACATATGTATGTAATAATAAAAAGAAGAAAAAAAGAATTGACGACATGTTACAAAAAGATAAAGATTGTTATTAGTGTGTTTGAATGTATGGAACATGACAGACAACTTGATACATATAAATATAAATATATATATAGAATTCTCATGTTTCTTTAAGAAATTCATCTACATCATCATCATCAAATTGAAGATCCTAAATATATAAAGAAAAAAAGAAGATTATTTTTATATAAATATAATATTATTCTTATCATATTAATGTACATTCCAAATATAAAATATAAAAGAATATATGTGCATGCATAGTTAGTAGACGTGCAATAGTGTGTTACGCATATTTAACATATACACTTTAGTATTTTTACCTCATTCTCATTAGGAGAATTTTTAGAAGTTTCTTTGAATACTGATGGTCCATTTTCAGTATTGCTTACATCATCAGTATCAATATCAATATCAAACTCTTGTAATTCTTTCTCAAGATCGCTCATTGATGTTCGACGACCACTACCAGCTGTTGCAGTTGTTGATATGACACTTGATGCTTTGGATGTTGTTGATGCTTCTCTACTAATAGATGTTGTTTGTGTTGGTTTAATAGATGAAGTATTCGTATGATTCATTGGAGAATGTGAACGTGATCGATCAGGATTAATAGATGAAACTAATTTATTCAATACTGATGAATCAGTTGTTGTTGGTTTAGCTATTGGTTGAATTGGTGTTTCAGTTGCATCATCAAAATTATCATCATCATCGTCATTATCTGTTATTCCTCTATTTAATTGCACTGGAATATATGAAAATTGTCCATTTTCTTCTGCTTCTTTCATTTCTTCTATTGGATTTTTTTCCCAATTTGGTGAGATTGTTTGATAAGTTCTAGCTGATTGTATTTTATTTTGTTGTTTTAAAAATTCTTCTGTTTTATAAGTATCAATAAGACCTGGAAAAAGATTTTCATAATCAGTTGGATTAGCTAATGCTTGTGCTGCACGTTCCATATTCATTTGTTTTAATTTTTCTCTCCATAAACCTACAACATGATTGATTTGTGATGGTAAATATGTACGAGCAAAAAATGCTGCTTCAGGTAAACGTTGATTTTCAATAAGAATATTTAAACATTCATCTAATTTTCCTAAGACAAAATTGGATAGAAAAGCTATATTAAATTGTCCTGATTTTCTTGATTTATCTCCAATTGTTGCCATTAATTGTTTATCACTTGATGCACTTGCTAATAGTATTAATGAACCAAATGATTGTGCACGTGTTAAACATTCTTGTACTAATTTAAAATCGCCTTGTTTTGTAGCAACATCAGATAATTGTAACCATTTTTGTTCATTTTCTAATTCAATTGCAAGTTCATAACAAACTTGTAGATTTCCTAATTGAAGTGCTAAATCAAATTTATGTTCATGATCTAATGTGACCGATAATGCTTGTTGACGATAACCCTAAATATAAATAATTTCATATTGATTATTAAATGAGAAATAAGACTTGTACGAACTTGTTTTTCAAGAAAATGTGCAACACGTGTACGTTGTTCTTTAGGAACTGTTGGAAGAACTCGATCAGCTGTTTCAAAATCTTTTCGCATCACAGCTGTTTGATATTCAAGTACTGATAAAGATAATTCAAAAGATACAATTGACATTTCTTTATCACCCAAATATAAACGATTTTCATTTGATACATAACCTAATAGATACATAACTCTAAATAGAATAAAGAATATTAATTGAATATCAAAACTGGAAGAAACGGTTTATTACCTGTCTAAATGTGAAATAGTAACAATTTCACCACCAACATAATAATTAATTCGATTAAGAGAATTTGTATATATAAAACAATCACCCACCCATATACCTGTTTTTATAGTTTCAGGGATTTCACTGAGAGCCTAAAAGGAGAAGAAAAGGATGTATTCTCAATAATAAATTAAAAAAATTTACATCAAATGCATCTTCAATACCATCTTCAGTGATAAGATCTTTATTAGAAATTGCATTCGTTACTGCTTCAGGA